TTCGGCCCTAGACCCCTTAAGGACCCAATAATAAGGTCCCTGGAAGCATGGGGTCAAGGCTGCCAAACATCGGGCTCCTAAACCCTAAACCCTAAACCCCCTTTTACCCGAAGCTTCCAACACCGAGTACGAAATCCCGAAGCCGTACGCCTTCAACACCAACCCCAGAACCCCCAATCAAGCTCCGTGGTCCTATAAACCTTAAACCCAACCTCCCTAAGCCCTCAGCCTTAGTAAACCCTAGACCCTGAGCCGACAAGCCTAAAGCCTTAAACCCAAAACCCGAATGGCCTTTCTTAAAGCCGCAGAGGACTTCCATTCGCAGCTGGAGGAGCACTCCGGTCTTGCAGCTGGATCGTTGGTATATGGGTAGTTCTCTAAGTTAGGGTCCCCTTTTTAGGTCCCAATATAGTACGGCACCCTTATAAAAAGGGACCCCAAAACGGACCCTAATTTAGAAAACTACCCATATTGCATCACATTAGAAGCCAGAAACTTGGAAGATCAATATCCCCATGCCCCTGAGGTAAAGCATAAGGAATCCCAGCACTAGCTCACTAGCCATCCTAAGTCCATGTTCCAACTTGCAGGGCTGGGCTCGCTGGATACTATATAAGGCTTTGATGAACTATAACATGTTATACTACATAATATAATATATTGCATTAGACTGTAGTGGATTGTATCATACGGTATCGCATACTATACTGTAGTATATTGTTACTATATCGTATAATGTTATAGGTTACAAACCCTAAACCCGAAACCCTAAACCCCTAAACCATAAGGGCTTTTAAAGAGGGGTTTGGGTCAGCGGTTTAGGTGTAGAGTTTACTATACCATAATGTAAGACAGTAGTCCTAGGGACCTCCATCGTTCTCAGGAGGGAAGGGAAGAAGCGATCCCTATGAGGAGCTCTTCCCTAAGGTCCTAAGTACCTCCATGGGGGATACTTACCCAAACTATAAGAGTACGGTTGATGATATAGATCCTGCATTACCCATAATACGGAATATATACCAGAATTCCCATAGTATAGGGTCCTTAAGGTAATGCAGGATATATACCATCAGCGGTATGTAGTACTTCATAGTACTTCATACAAAAGAAACCTTACTTTTTACTGTATAAGTGCTTAGGACCCTTTGGATTATAGCAGTCCCTAGAACCCCCTTTCCCCCTTTCCTACTCAGAACCCGGGAGTCATTCATGAAGCTCTAAGATGCCAGAAAGAGGCTTATCTAATACATGTTGTGCTTTCATTCATAGCAATTATCACCCAAGCCCTACCTCTAATGCCTTAAAGGCCCCTATGGAATCCTAAACCCTAAACCCCAAACCCTAAGCCCTAAGCCCTAAACCCCTAAACCCCTAAACCCTAAACCCTAAGCCCTAAACCCTAAACCTTAAGCCCAGGCACTCTCCCTCTTGCCTTCCTTTCTGGGCGGCCGAGCCCCGCCCGAAGAAGCGGGGCGCGCTGAGCGCGTCCCTTTTCTCTCTGGTTCTTAGTATTGAATGGGGGAGGTCTAGGGTTTAGGGCTTTAGGGTTTAGGGTTTTAGGGTTTAGGGTTTAGGGGGATGGGGGAGTGGATCCCTATGATAGTCCCTTAAGGTCCCCGAATAGTAGTCCCAATACCCCACTCCCCCATTCCTTATTAAGAACCAGTCCCGTTTTCCGATGCATAATCCCTAACGCTTTGACGACAGGGCCGGTCTTTACAATCATGACTACCGCGGTTTAGGGTTTAGGGTTTATGGTTTAAGGTTTAGGGTTTATGGTTTAGAGTTTAGGGTTTTATGGTTTAGGGTTTAGCGTTTAGGGTTTACGATGTATTATAGTATTGTTTAGGGTTTCGACATCTTGCATGTCCTATAATAAGGACTTGTCCGCGACCCTCAGAGTTTGCGACATTTCACACAATGCCGAATTTGTCCATCAACGATCAGCAGCATCACTATTCATATTTTACGATGAGAGGATGTTTCTTTTGGCACATAGCTGTACATTCATTGGCACGATAGCAGCTTCTCTTCGCGCAATTATGCGTTCATGTACTGCAGGTACAGTGTAGCTGTTGCTTTGCAAGTCTCAACTCTAAAACCCAAAACCCTAATTATGAGTACGCTCATGAGTCTAAGATTTAGACAGACAAAGGCTCTCTGGTAGTAGGTAGAGAAACCTTTAGCGTGCAGGATATCCCCCACATGTAATCCGACATGTTGCGTCTAGGACAGGAAACTGGATAATTCCTTAAAATGAACACGGTCTGAACTTGAGGCTACTCCACCAATCACATGTGTAGTTCTCTAAGTTAGGGTTCCTGTTACCGTCTTTTTTTTCATAAGGGCCGTACTATGTTGGGGACCTGAAACGCCCAAACCCTTAACCCCGACATCCTGATGTGGAGGGTTAGAGGTGGCCCTTGAGATGGCATAGAAGCCTCAACCCTACATCCAGAAACCCAAGAGGTCCATGTACCCAAACAGTACTAGGTTCCCCAGTAGTACCCTTTTGCCCTTTTTATTTGGGGGTCTCCTTATTAAAGCCGAATATTAGGAAAAAGGGTACCGTTATTATTAAGGGGTTACTGGGGAACCTAGAGTAATTATCTGGCTTGGCCTTAAAGCATATAGGTACTTTAGGGGTTTAGGGTTTAGTAGTGCCTGTATAGGTACTCTATAGGGCCACAGCATCTACTCGATGGGTACATGAACCCGCAGGGAAATGGATTCTTAGCCAGTTTTCAAGCAGAGAAAACATCTGCTTCTGACGACTGTACAGGCTAGTGCCTAGTGCCGAGCGCATGGTCTTCTCGGCTTTTCCTAGCTCCGATCTGGAAATACACCCAATCTTGTGTGTGCTTCTTATTTGGGTTTGAGGCAAGTGCAGGATTGGCTCTGTGGTGGTAGGAGAACACAAACCACATGTGGCAACTAGGACCTCAACAGAAGTGGGGGCTGTAGAGGTGCGGAGTTTAAGGACTTTGAGGACAACACGAATACATGTTTACATCATCACAGACCAAATGCAGTGTTTATCATACATTCCCTATGAAGGACAAAGTCCTTAAATCCCCAGATTCCTATGAAACAAAACTCAAAATCATTACAGTTTGAAGTGCATCTTATATAACCCTATGGATCAACGGCCGAAGCGCGGAGAAGCCAGGATTATCGCTGATTCAGGCTGACTGAACCGTGAAAAGTCCGCTACCGACTGCACAGACCAAAGATGAGCGCTTGCTGGCGGGCCTTTCGTTTAAGGCTTAGGGTTCTGGTGTTTAGGGGTTTAGGGTTTAGGGTTTAGCGTCCTGGGGTTTAGGGTGTATAGGGTTTAGGTTGGGTTTAGGGTTCGGAGGTACAGGGGTTCGGGGTTTAGGGTTTTTAGGATTTACCTAGACAGTAGAATGCAGTAGTACCTGTTTATGGTTATTTTCAACTTTAGACTTTGGCTTCTTAGTATGGGAGCCAGAGAGTAGGTCCTGCAAAATATGCTTATAGAGTCGAGGGTCTAGGTGGAATGGATTTTTTTGTTTAGGGCTAAGGCTTTCACTTGGGGCCTTAACCCGGCGATCCCTGACGCCCTGAGATCTTGCAGCCCCGACCCGAGATAATGAGCACCAAGCCCACGACCCCCCAAAAATTCCAAGACCCTATGCCGTTGAACCGATGTGGAAATGTATACCCGAAATAAGAAGATCCTGATCAATCGGACCCCTGATTGGGACACCTATTTCGAGACGGTTCCCGGTCCCCAAACGCCTGCCGTCAGGCAGCCGTACGAATTCCACACGTGCGCGCGGTGACTTCTGACATTAGCTGGGACGCGACTCAGGTGGGCGTAGGGTATCAACTGCTTTGGAGAAAGGCCTGTATGGTTTAGTGTCTCCTTACTCTGAGAGTGATCCCTAAACCCCAAGACCCCTAAACCCCTCCTCCCCCCAAGGTTTAGACTATTTAGACGTTCAGTTTTCCGGCTTGCCCAGGGATCTACAGAAACAACACTGGGGGTCACGACATCACCCCCTTACAGTCCCTAAGCTTCATTGACCATTCATATTATGCCTAAACCCAAAACCCTATAAATCCTACACCCTAAACCCTATACCCTATAAACCCTAAAGCCTAAACCCTAAACTCTAAACCAAAACCTCAGTATAACGTACTCCAAAATCCTGCTCCAATCCTCTAGGCCTCCTATAGTACCCGCGAGACCCCAAAGCCGAAAAGCCTCCAGACCACGCCCTAACCCAGAGGCCCCTTACCCCTTAGGGTTTAGGGTTTGGTCCAGAGAGTTAGGGGATACCTTGCCTATTTTCGGCTATTGGCACCACCTACTCCAAAAAAGTTCGAAATACAATCTTAGGGAAACTATATTCTCAATACTCCTATCTATATCCAAGTGCCCAAAATAGGCGAGGTCCCCCTTGTAGAATTTGGGTTAAGGTTTATAAAGCAAACGCTGTATCTTCTGGGATTCCCCACTCACTCACTCTCAGGCTCAACGGAGGGAAATCTACGAGTCTTGCCCGAAATTAAAAGCCCTCTGAGAACAGCCATAAGCCGTGAAAAACGCGCTACAGTCTTGGATTCTCCAATCATGTTAACTCTTTCAGTCCTGGAGCTCTGGGACCGCAGCGACGACGACAACAAGGTCCACCCCCCCGAGAACCCAATACCCTTAATTAAGGAATTTGCCTTTAAATTATAGGGGCCTTAGTATTATGATTTAGGGTATATTCCTTAATTCAGGGGCATTGGCTTCTCTGGGCACTTCCAGAGGACTGATTTCGTTTTGCAATTTGCTTGGTAAGGGCAGTGAGCTTCCTGGAACGTGATTTTCCAATCACATCTTTACGCCGCATGTAGGCCTAAGCTTTGCGCCAGCTGCTCAGAAGTGCTGCATCCTTTACACTTGGTTTGGTTTGGCATCTTCCTCATCATGGAGTTGTGAGCAAAGCAGAAAAATGTCAGTAGACAGACCGTAGATTCCCACAGCGATGTCGATGAGCTCCGGTCAGATGTGGTGGCACAAGATCGGCCAGCAAGAAGCCCACTTCATCATGTTCGAGGAGACGGACATTGTAGCCACCGTCAAGGAGAAATTCATCTCCAAGAGTCCCAGCCTGCAAAGCCTGGATCCCGGCCAAATCATCATCAGAAAAGCGTCTGGAGAGGCGCGAGTCGCATGACAGTAGTCAGTAGCGACTCATGATTTGACTCATGACGTTGTTTGCCACCCTGCGTCCTTCACCCACCAGCTACCGAGTTCCGGTGTCATTAAGATTGTTTTGTATCGCTTGTGTCTTTGTTGAGGAATTGTTGGTGGACTCCAAGATATCCCAGCTCGTCATTCAAGGCGTTGGAAAAGAACCTGAGATCGCTGTGCTGGTCAATGGGGAGACGTCAAGTGCCGCAGGTGCCAGTGGGTTGTTTTTTTTTGTAATGGTTCTGTTTGTTCTTCAGGGCTCACCGCCTAGTGCGTACTTGGACACCCAAGTATGGCTGCATTGTTTGCCCTCACAGGTGTAGCCACTCATCCAGAAGTTGCGCCAACCGCAGCAGCCATGCGATTGTCCCTTTGCGAGGAAGCCTTGGGGCAGGTGCAACCATGGCAGCGCATCCGGTGCAGAATCCCATACAGGTCCCGTGATGCTATGGGGTCGAAGGGAGACATTCGTCTGTTTCACAGTTGCACATTTGCTTTGAAGCAGTTGCACATTTGCTTTGAAGCTATTGTCTTAATAAACCATGACCCCAGCAGGTCCACTGATGCTGGCATCAAGTCGCGCTTGGCTGACCACATCCGACAATATACGCTTGGCACCTTGGGTGGAACGGTGCAGCGAAGAGAGGATGCGACTGTGGTGACCATTGTAGGCACTTGCCAAAATATACGCGCTGTTTTGCAGTGGATGGAGCAGACGATGCGCTACCCAAGAGGTGAGATCCGGAAGAGTCTCATCGTTGCCGATGAAGGAACCAGTGTTTCATCACTGTCAGATGCACTCAGACCCTTACCGACAGGCTCGCTGAGATTGGAAAATGTCTCAGAGTCATATTCTGCGTTAGCGTTGGAGTCGACAAAGTAGTAAGTGTAGATGCAAGTGGGTTGAAGACCAGAGTGCATAAAGCACACGACACAAAACATGCGTTTTTTGGCGGCCCTCACCGACAGTCGCCAGGGACACTCCTCCAACATTCTAAGGGACACTCCCCCCCCCAAAAAAAAAAACAAAAGAAAAAAATCTAGGGGACACTTCCCACCGAAATTCTGAGGGACGCTCTCCCTTGGGAACGGTGGTTTGGAGTCACATGTGTACAGTCAAAGCAGCAAACTGTCAGACCTAGCTGCTGTGCAGGAGGATTTGGCATCTTCCCTAGCTTATCCTGGGTTCTTGTTAAGGGATTCTATTTACACTACCAGAATGGGGATCTATAGGAAACAATATGTTATCTTTAGTATGGCGATTTATATTAAACCCCTTAACAAGAGCCCAATATCAAACTCTTAACACTCTTCTCAGACCTACTCTAAAACTCTTGAAGCGCTGGAACCCTCTGCCCCCAAGAAGCCTCTGATCGAAGCCTCTGATCAGACCTTAGGAAACTCTTGAAACGACCTAAACCCTAAACCCTATAATCCCTGAACCTTGAACCCTAAACCTTAAAACGCTGGACCCTAAACCCTACAAACCCTGAACCTTGAACCCTAAGCCCTAGAACCCTGAACCCGAAACCCTAGAAACCCTGAACCTTGAACCCTAAGCCCTGGAACCCTGAGCCCTAAACCCTATGGACCCTGAACCTTGAACTCTAAGCCCTAGAACCCTGAACCCTAAACCCTATAAACCCTGAACCTTGAACCCTAAGCCCCAGAACCCTGAACCCTAAACCCTATAAACCCTGAACCTTGAACCCTAAGCCCTAGAACCCTGAACCCTAAACCCTATAAACCCTGAACCTTGAACCCTCAACCCTTTAACACTGAACCCTAAACCCTAAACCCTAAGCCCTAAAGCTTGAACCCTAAGCCCTAAAAACCCGAAAACCCTAAACCCCAAAACCCTAATAGATCCTTAAAAATCCTAAATCCCCAAAACCTTGAATCTCACCCTAGAACCCTAAACCCGAGACCCCTTTAAAGGAACCCTTATAGCACCCTTTAAAAGGAACCCTTATAGACCCCTTTAAAGGACCCTAGAACCCTGAACCCTGAACCCGAGACCCCGGGACCGCAATCCCGGGCGAGGCAGCAAAGCTGAACGTGGCCGCGGCCGCCCCACACTTGGCCTCTGGATCGACTCTGGTGGTATCACAGGAAGCTCATATACTTTTTTTATTATTAAGGTTTGGGGTTGAGTGCTATATTATACATTATTTGTAAGGTTTGGAGTGTAGGGTCTTAGGGTTATGTTATACTACATATTGTTAAGGTTTAGAATTTAGGGTTAGATTGGACATTATATATATATCTAGGTTTCCCAGTAGGCCCTAACTATTTTCCCTTTTCGGTGGTTCTAGGTTAGGCTGCTAGGGATCCTTGATAATCACTTTACATCATTATGTATACATGGAATATAGGGACCCAAATTATAATTAACAATAGTATGTATATATATATACATATGTTTTTTTTGAGGGGGGTCCTTAGTATAAGCATAGTATATAATGGGCCCCAAAACCCTGTTCAAATCATGAAGGCCCCTACATTATATACTATATCGTTTCTGTTAGAAAATATGTATGATGTGTAGCGTATCTTCCGCAGGGTTGTATCAGTTTTACGGAGAGTGTTGTCGGGGCTTTACAGGGTGATGTTATGTTATATTCACAGCGGGGTGGTGTCACAAGAAGTCGTTCTGTAGGGTTTTATCGGTTTTTACGGAACTTGTCATACACCGGGGCATTGCAGGCATGTGTTTTTAGGGGCGTCATCGGGGGTACTCTGATGGCGTCGCAGGAAGAGGAGGCTCGGCTTGCAGGTTTTTGCGATTCCTAAAAGGACTCTCGACAATATGTTTGTCAGACACTCCGCAGAGCCAGCTTCGAAGTTTTGATTACAGGGTTTTATGGAGCTTTCATCCGGGATTTTACGGGGCTTGGTGAGGGGGCGGGATGGGCGAAGTCAGGAAAGTTTCGGATTTTGGGTACAGGGTTTGGAGTTGAGGGTTTAGGGTTCCGGAGTTGCGGGATAAGGGCTCGGTTTTGCAGCGTCTTGAGGCCTAGTATTTCCGGTTCAGGATGAGATCTCTTCTTGGTTTAGGGTGTAGGGCTTAGGGTTTAGGGTGTAGGGTTTAGGGCTTAGGGTTTTGGGGTTTTTCCATGGTGCGGGCTCCATCAGGCCATGTTAGACGCCTAGTATCAGCAGCCATACTACCAAAAAACAACGCCAGCTACTACAACAGCACTGATGAGAAGCTAAATGCTTGTGCTTTCTACCCTGCAGTATCAGTAGCGGCGGTAGGATATCAAGCCAATGTATAACGTATACTATACAGTATATGTGTAGTTCTCTACATTATGGTCCCTTGTCAGGTTCTTGTATAACAGTGCCGTACGATTCGGGGGACTTGAAAAAGGTATGAGCAAAGCGACCTGCGGAAGGGTAGTAGCCATGGGGTTTAGAGTTTAGGGTTCATGCTAGAGTGGGCAGCAAGGGTAGGATGCTTGTCATTCAATTGTCGCATGACGTGAAATTCTGTCTTCATCACCATCACAATGTCTTGATCATATTGATCATCAAGATCATGTTCCTGATGTTCCCACCTAGAGTCTTCAAAGCTAACCCCAAACCCTGAACCCTAAACCCTAAACTGCCGAGAGCGCTGCTGACCATTTGCATGGGCGCTCGAGGCTCCGATCGAGGCCCCCGGCCGAGCGTCCCGTCAGAACGGTGAGGGAGGGTAAAGCCTCCCGGTATGCGGGGACGGAAATGACTCGGCTACGCCTCACACAATACGGACGTTAGTCCGTTATTCTGAGGACCCCAAACCTCACCATGAAGGGCGCTTTGGTTTTTTGGGTGTGTTTTGGGGGGGTCTGGGGGGTACCTGCAAAGGGCCTGGCAGGGATCCGTGGTAGTCTGAGCCTGTTCACCCGCAAAGGGTCTGGGGCCCCAGCCTGGCAGATTCCAGGGGCCCGGGACCCCTGAGGGACCTAGGGCCCCAGGCTGGCAGATTTCGGGGTCTTGGAGTTTTGTGGGCCGCTTTGAGGGGGCGACCAACCCGCAAAAAAGGGTTTCCTGGCCTAACCCTGACAGGGTGCGAGAGGCGAAGTGTTTGTTGGGAACCCTTGTTTCTCTTCGAGCGGCCGGCACAGGCCGCGAGGACCCACAACCCTCCGTTTTGCTGTGAAACGCACATCTTCTGCAGAGCTGCGAGGGGAAGCAGAGAGCAAGAAAGCCGAATAGTTGGGGTGGTTGGGGCGGGACTACATGCTGACGCAAGCGCGCGATTAGTGGGTGCGCCCCTATTCAAGGCGCACCCACCGCGCGCACACTGTCTACACACCCTAAACCCTAAACCCCGAACCAAGACATCCATCTTCCAGGAGGACGCCAGGTCTCTGCCGAACGAGGCCGCGTCGGTCGACTTCGTCGTCACCGATGCACCTTGCGTGCGTTTCTTGTTGTGGTTCTCAAGCATTCTAGGGTTTACGGGTCTTAGGGTTTAGGTTATGGGGTTTAGGGTATAGGTTTTAGGGTTTAGGGTACAGGGTTTAGGGTTTAGGGGGGCTACGGTTTCAACGGTTTAGACCTTCAAGTCTTGCGTTTTTTTTCCAGAGGTGAAGTTTTCTGATGTCGCCAAAACGGACATCTAAGGCGATCTAGATGGCTTGTTTTTTAGGATTGAGGTAAATTTACAGTGATCCTCACAATCAGGCTTGCGTTCTGTCATTCTGCCTTTCCGTTTCTGCTGCTGGCCAGTCCAAGCACAGAATGCAGATTCCGCAGAACCCTAAACCCTAAACCTAAACCCTAAACCTTATACCCTAAACCGTAAACCCTAAACCCTGAACCCTAAACACTTAACCCTGAAACTTAAACCCTAAACCCTAGCTAAACCCTATACCCTAAACCGTAAACCCTAAAGCCCTAAACCCCAAAGCAAATTGAAAAGACCCAGAACCCCACTCCCCACTCACGGGCATGGTAGGCTCCTAGACTCGGTCATTTGGTGCATTATCCCTAAGGGTCCATGTAGTCATACAGCCAAATATATACATTGCCCTTCAATGTAATCCCTATATAGGTACTTTGGGGCCAAAGTATGTAATATTTGGATACATGGACCCTTAGGGTATGATATCGCAATCGGAAAGCCCCACACCCTGAAATTCCCTTCCCACTTCCCCCACACCCTCCACCCTCAACCTCAAGACCTAAATGCTCACCTGAAATCCTAAACCACCTCAACTGTAAACCTCAAATCCACAGGCTCTGAAAGCCACCCTAAACCCTAAACCCAAGGTGCCTTTCGGGAACCGCAACAGGCTCGTCTGGGTGAACGGCCTGCTCCCAGCCTTCCTCTCTGAGATGTCACGCGTACTGCGACCCGGGGGACCGGGGGTGAGGGTTTCTGTAGAGTTTTCTCGGTCTAGGGTTTATAGAGTGGAATAAACCTTTATGAAACCAATAATATTATAAGGCCCCCTATACCTTAAGATTCCCTAATTGAAGGGCTATCTTGGGATCTCTGGGTTTCTTTAGGGTCTTTTCACCAAAGCCCTATGCAAAGATAGCGAGGCCTCTGTGGACAAAGCAATAGGCTCCTTAGTAGCTCCTTTTTGGGATTGCCTTATGGGATTCTAAATATGAACCATAACAAGGAACTACTTAGGAGCCTATAGGTAGTTCATAACTATCCTTGGTGATTATAGTCCTCAAGAAGCAGCTAAAATTACAGTTTCTGCTAGGGTCTCAAGTTCGGGTACTGAAAGTAAGGAGCCCTAAGGAATAGTATGGTTATTTCAAGCTCCAATTTGCCAAGCCCAAGAGGACGGGCCGCGCTGCTGATGACCAGAGGCCACGCGAGGCAAG